AAATTTTTTTTTTTTTTTTTTTTTGGTTTTTCGAGACAGGGTTTCTCTGTGTAGCCCTGGCTGTCCTGGAACTCACTCTGTAGACCAGGCTGGCCTCGAACTCAGAAATTCTCCTGCCTCTGCCTCCCAAGTGCTGGGATTAAAGGCGTGCGCCACCACCGCCCGGCTCAGGAGATAAATTTTAGGAGTTGGTTCTCTTTTTTTTTTTTTTTTTTTTGGTTTTTCGAGACAGGGTTTCTCTGTATAGCCCGGGCTGTCCTGGAACTCACTCTGTAGACCAGGCTGGCCTCGAACTCAGAAATCCGCCTGCCTCTGCCTCCCGAGTGCTGGGATTAAAGGCGTGCGCCACCACCGCCCGGCAGGAGTTGGTTCTCTTACCATGTGGGTTCTGGGCTGGAACTCGGATCATCAGGCTTGATGAAGCAAGTACCTTTACCTGCTGAGTCATCTCTTGCAACCCCTTAAATATCATATTACGCCCAACCGTTATTTTAAAAAAGACCTGCAACAGCAAAACTAATAATAATAATAATAATAATAATAATAATAATAATAAAAGCTGTGTTTGATTCAGTACTGTTCTCCAATCAGATTTCAGTTATCCTGTTGGGTACTGTAAAAGCAAAAAATTATGCTTCTTAATATATATGTTTCTTAGTTTCTCAGATTAATTGTTGTTTTTGTGCAGCTAAATTTAAGAACCCACCTACTCATACCCTTCTCACCACCCCCTGAACTGAAATGAAAGTAATATGCTTTCCCCCATGCCCTTAAGTGTATCTAATATCTTGATCATGCTTTCTGCACAGAACGACTTTCTTCCTAGGATTATACCTCTGCACCTTTGGGCCCGACAGAGTCCCCTCTCCAGCCCCCAGCCTTGCTCTCGGCTCATGGGTTCCTCTTGGTTTTGCTGGAGTTTATGAGATGTGAACTCATGCTGCCCTCCAGCAGGTCCAGCATGTACACTTGAAGTGTCTGTCCTGTCTTGTTCTGGTGGAGATAGCCTGGTGTTTGTTTCTTGAATACCATCTGTTAAGTGTTGAGGTCTCCTATTTTACTCACTGTGGTAATTATGCAGAAATCCTAACTTTTCTGCACATAGCCTCCCTATATCTGCCCAGGTTCCCCATCTTACTCTCCCACGCCGTGCACACTGACAGTTTACTGTATTTGTTTTCCCCCTATTATACCAGTCTATACCTCCTCTTACATGTTCTTAGTCCATGGACTGATTCCTGGAGCGTTCAGCTTTTAGCCCCTCATTGTTAAAAAACAAAAAACCAGGAACTTGAAGTACAATCCTGGAAAATGGAACCGAAAGAAAGCATGGGCACCCAACTAGTGGTCATTCCCCCAGTTGCTTAGTTTTGAAGGTCACCTCTCAGGATCTTTTTCCACAAAGAAGATTAATGAGGAAAACAAACACCACACATGGGCCTTGTATTCAACAGTCCTAGGAGATGGAACACTGGACATTTCACATATTTTGTAGAGTTTTTTTTTTTTTTTTAATTTCAGGATTGTTCTTTCTTTGAGTATATTTCCAGCTTTTTGGAGTTATTTAATAAGAATATTTTTAATTTCTCAGTGCTGGTGTGCGTATGTGTGTGTGTCTTTTGAACTTGCTTTTTATGATAGTTTTCTCTTTGTTCTGTGCATGGCACTGTATTTCAGGTTCTGTTGAGAGTTCTCATTAGAGTTTTGGGGTAACTCTATTGTTGGTGGCTCTGTTGCCCGTGTCCTTTCCTTTTCATGCTAGTGATTTGGCTGTCAGGTGACCCTGAGTGTCTGTTAATATTTAAGGTGGATGGGTGGGTGCTATGGATTTCTTTTGCTGGACTTAAGTGGCCTAACTTCAGGAGCTGGCAGTCTTCCTTAGAGCCTCTGTAGGGCAAGGAAGCAGAGAAAAAGGGAGAAAGGCAACTGTGTGACTCCCCTAATACTGGAGAAACTTCATTCTGGAGTACCACAGAATGCTTCGCCCTGACCAGTTGATCGATCTTTCTTTTCCTCTTTTTTTTTTTTTTTTTTAAACCCCCAGTGTGTATAATAAAGAGTTAGGGCGAATGCTAGCTTGTCCCTTGATCTTAGCAAGGAGTGCATCCTGGTCTATCCAGACTGAGTGAGTCCAAACTACCTCTTGTGTCCCGATGTGGTTTACCTTCTCCACACGTGGGTAGGCCCCTCCTGGGCTATTCGGGGTCATCATTGTTTTGAGCCCTTTGGAAGTTTGAGTCATCCCTGGCCCACCATAGGGCCTCTGTCAGAGCAGGAGCAGCAGGCTGGCAAGCTGTGTCTGAAGAGGGTCAGAGTGTCCCTTGGGCCTGCACCCCTTCCTACTCTTCTCGCCCAGGGCTGAGCACCACTGGCCCTGTCTGGGAGCTTTGATGACATGCTTTGTCCAAGATCCACTGCCAGAGTGGGCCAGCTTCTTTTCTTCCTCAAACCTATCATCTGCTTCCATCTCAGGTGTGGGCTGAGAGCTTGGCACAAGATGGGAAGATAGGCCTTGGAGGAGAATGAGAGTCGGTGGCCTGGCTAGGTGATGGGGCGTGACCGAGACTTACCTCTGTTCTGTCACCCACAGGTGAGAGGCCTTTCGCCTGCAGCTGGCAGGAGTGCAACAAGAAGTTTGCGCGCTCGGACGAGCTGGCACGGCACTATCGCACGCACACGGGCGAGAAGAAGTTCAGCTGCCCCATCTGTGAGAAGCGCTTCATGCGGAGCGACCACCTGACGAAGCACGCACGCCGCCACGCCAACTTCCACCCGGGCATGCTGCAGCGGCGTGGCGGGGGCTCGAGGACCGGCTCGCTCAGCGACTACAGCCGCTCAGATGCCAGCAGCCCCACCATCAGCCCGGCCAGCTCACCCTGAGCACCCGCGCCCGGACCGCGCCTCCTCTCCCCTTTGGTAATAGGAAAGCTGAGCGAACTTGAGAAGTCCACAGCAAAACAGTTTTCTTCACCTCAGGTGTCAATTTTTAACAAAAAGGAAAAAAAAATCTCAAAAAAAAAAAAACCAAAAACAAAAACACCACCCACAAATTGCACAATACAGCTATCCACGAAGTTGAGATTCAGCGGTGTTGAACCCCCCCCTTTCTCAGGGATGAACGCGGTCCACGAGGTCACTGAGGGCATGCCTTTATGCCGCCTTACTTTGTACATAGATTTGCACTCTGGAGTCTTCTGTGAGGTTTAAGGATTACATTGGGGCAGAATGGGACAGCTGGAAACAGAGATGTGGTCACTGATACTGTGTTTTTGCAGCAGACCCCCAAAGGCCTGTGACCCTCTCCTGCCTACCACTCAGTTGTGGTCCTCTGCCCCTTGGCCTGGCTTATAGCACAGGTGGGCCTGAGGGACTGGCCACCTCACAGGGATGTGGTAAGCCATGACAGACCATGGTGCACTTGCCTATGGAACTGTGGAGGACATCTGTCTTCTAAGGCTGGTCCTGCCTGCCTGCCTGCCTGCCTACCTGCCTCCAGAAATTCTTGGGAAAATGGAGGCCAGATGCAAACCCTGCCTAGATTGGCGTATCATTGTCAACAACCCATGAAGGCGGCTGGGCCCTGCCAGCCCTACAAGAAGGAACCTGGGACCCTTCACTATCACACCATGTTCTCAGACTGGGAAATAGTGCCCTGGGCACATTGTACCGAAATTGCTTCCCTCCAAAATTGGTGTTGTTTTTATCCAGTTCCCTAAGCTCTCGTGCCCTGGGCCACTGGACAGAACTATCACGACCCCTCTGCCTCTTCAGTCTGTGAGTGTAGCAGTGCTCACACACCCCACAGGACTGATGGTGGCAAAGGCATCGTCAATTAACTCCTCAGAGCAGCACAGCAGGTGTTACAGGAGATACTATTGCAGAAACAAGGATTCTGCTTCTCTGGGGGATGCCGTATGAAAATTGTGGGGCTCACTGTCCCAGAACCTTGGGTACAGACTTAGCAAAACCACAGTTCCACACTGTTGCATTACTCACTTTTCTGTCCTGCTTCTGCCTGCCTGGCCTGGGAGCACCCAAACTACACCCATCTGCAGTGTGGGTTAGGACAGGGATGGGTGGCCTGCTGGTAGGACAGCAGGAGTGGAAGCCAGGCCTGTCCTGTTTCTCCTGGAGTCCAGACCTGGGCTACATTGGCTTCAGGTGCTGGGCCTCGTCAGCAAGACTATGTTCTGGTTGCTCCTTTGCAAATGCTTGGAGTGTCATCTGCTCCCACCCTGCAGAGGCCCAGGCATTTCTTCCCCTTCTCCCAAGGACTGGGGCCTAGGAACACAAGGCCCCAGGACTGTGTGTGTGTGTGTGTGTGTGTGTGTGTGTGTGCGTGTGCGAGTATGTGTTGGGTGGTGGGTGGGTTTGGGATGGACATGGGTTATCTTACAGAGACCTCTCTTCATTTTGATGTGGAGGATCGGCCCTTGTGACTCAGAGAGTAGTAGCTGGGCTTTCCTGGGCCCAGTGTGCCTTGGTTGTGGCCATTCTGCCTCCACCCCAACCCTCACACAGTGTGGGGGTGCAGCACAGGGAAAACCCAGACTTGCCCAGCCAAGTCTGCAGTTTCTGGCTGTTGTCATGTGGCTCCCATGTGGGTCTTAGGCACCCCTTTCTAACTACCTGTGTCAGCTATGAGAGGCTAATGGCATATGGTGGCTTCTGGTGGCACAGTAGGTGCTGAGTTAGGCTGTGGCATTGTTGCTGCCAAAAGCAGGCATGGTGGGTGGGCATGGTCCCTGCCCTGGTCCAGTGCAAAGCTGGTAACAGCTCTGCTTGTATTTCATCTGGGGGAGAGAATGGGGTATGTGGTCGGGACCTTGACTGAAGGGAACCCTGGGTGCTTGGGGTGTGGCGATCTTCATGCTGAGTTCCAAAGTGTAGTCCCCTCCCAAAGTCATTTGTGTGAGGCAGAGAAAGCCACACTCTGAACACATTTCATGTCTCAGGAATTCACATTCCAGATTCAGGAATTTTATTCCAAAGTCCTTTGGTGCACCTACATCTACAGTTCTGAAGACAGAGGCAGCAGTGTGCCCCCAAAGACCTGCCAAGGTCTCTCCTTGGGAGGAGCCTGGTGTCTCATTGTGACCTACCTACCCACAGAGTCACAACAGGAGGCTTTCAACTCCACCACTGTCTGCACATAGGAAGGATAAAAGGACTCTAAGCCCCATCTTCTTGGAATAAAAGAAAGAGCTGGTTTGTTTTAGAGCAGGTTGGGGGGAGGGGGGAAAAGCGGGCGTAGGCTGTTTCCAAAGAGAGCACTTAATTTAATTTTTCCTCTGAATGACCCAGGGCTGTTCCATCTGATAGATGGAAGGGTAATGTTGCCTTAAAACAGAAATATGCAGGCGTTGGCTATTTTTGGCAAATGAACGTGTCTTCATTCCCAAAGTGGTTCTCCTTTAATGGCAGGGTGTGGTCCTTTGGCATGGGGCAAGGGCACCCTTCATAGACTCCCCTATATCATCCGGGGCTTCAGTTCATCTCATCAAGTGGTGGGAGGAAGGAAGGAACATGACTAGGTCTAGTTCCAGTGGCTTCTCATTAGGTTCCCATCTTGTCATAAACAAGGGATGCCTTTTAAGATGCAGTGTCTTCCCAGACCAGGTCTTTTGCAGGTCTGTTTTTTGAGTTTTTGCAGTTTATGGCCATATTTTCTGGTTTCAGTTTGATTGAGGAACCCATGGGGTTGCCCAGGAATACTACTGAAAAGTCAACTCTTTCTTTTCGGGATGGGAAGCAGAGACCCCACAATGAAAGTGCCTGAGTGAAGGGAGAGTTCCCTACAGCAGCGTCTGAGAGGAGCTCTGTACTTCAGCCATCAAGGGGCTGGAGTTTGGCTCATGTCCCAAATGAGAACATCCCTCTTTGCATCAGCCATATTACGGGGCCACTGCTGTTCCCCAGATGCCTACTGAATCCTACAGCCATACAGAAAATAGCCCTTTCCAAAGAGGGCCTTTGGTTCTCTCTTGATGGGTGCTACGTAGGGATGGACAGTGATGCCCTCGATGGGAGTGTGGTCCTGGAGGTGCCCTACCTGTGTTCTGCCACACCCCCTACTCCCAGGACCTGAGATGCAAAGGCTCCCTCTCTCTCCAGCCCACACCATCGCAACCATGTTCTGAGGCCAGCATGGGACAGGTTCATGCAGGATTCACCAGAGTGCAGCCTCCAGGGGCAAAATCCTGCACCCTGGAGACCCCAGTGAGGGATGGTTTAGATGTGGGGATGGATAAGGGAAGGTGACATTCTGTGGTCCCAAGAGAAATGTGGCAGAACAAGGGGTTACCTTTCAAGACTAATGCCTCTCAGCCCCACTCCGTCCAGAAGACTGGCCCTTTTCTTGCCAGAAGCAGGTGCTACGATGGACTGCACAGGGTCACAGCATTTCCTAGAGGCTTCCTCTGGGATCTCCACCAAGCAGGGGCACCTTGCATGTGAGACTAACCCGAGCAATAGCTTGGCCTCATTTCTCAGCTCCTGATTGTGGCTTTGTTTACAAGGCTACCTATTTTGACTTCTAACAGGTGTTACTGATTGTCCCTCCCCCTCCTCCTGCCCCACTTCACAAAAGGTTATGTGGTCAGAGACACAGTGCTGGAAGGTTTATGTGTAGCCATGTTGTGATCAGTAAGAAATGCTTTGTAGGTCACCCACAGGTTTTTTTGTTTTTGTTTTTTTCTGTCCAAAGTTTCCATCTGTCTGTCCTGGTGGCCGTATCTATCAAAGCTAAAATCCAGATGTTTGACTCACTGTTTTGAAATCAGGATGGCACTAGGAAGAGCCCGGTCCTGTGAGTAACTTTCCTAATTCTGAGTCTTCGAAGATTTGTCCTGGACACATTCCAGAGAATTTTGTACCCGAACATGGATCCACAGTCCAGCTTACTACTGATACAGGCCTGAGCACTGCTGAGGGAGAGGCCCTTCCTCTTGGTAGCCTAGAGGCCCCAGTCCACCAGGGAAGGGAGGCTTGCTTGGTTTCTTTGACCCCTACAGAGTTAGTGGACTTGCTCTGGAACTCTCTAGCCCAGCCCACTCCTAGTGTCATCTCCCCCCGCCCCCCCCCCCCAACCTCCCCCATCTCACACAGCTTTAAAACTTCACTACTTTTATTTAGAAACAAACAGGATGGCAGAGAAGACACCTCCCCCGCATTCCTGGGGGTGGGCAGGAAACATAGGTCAGGCATGAGGGCGGGTTTTCTCCCTGATGTTTCCCTGGAGTACTTACTGTGGGTCAGCTGCCTGTGCTCATTCACTCAATGCCTATGGGCCAGGTTGCATGTCTCAGTACTGAGAGCCTAGACTTAGGAGAATTCTTCCCCCCAGGAGTAGCTAGATCTACTTCTCATGATTCAGACACTGCCTGGTCATCTGTTCCAGGAGCATACCTGACTTACAATGTCTACCCTACCTAGTACGTGGGTGGAAGGATCTTTCTGTTCCCCCATTGCACACTGGAGAGGCCCTGGGTACCATAAGGCTCCCTGCTGAGCCACTATGCATTGTGGGGTCAGAGCTCCTGTCCTTCCTTGGTGACTAGAAATCCCTGCTGTGGTTTTGTTGGACAGGCCCAGGTGATTGCTTCCCATCCAAAGCCATCGGTGGAACTTCTGTGGGATCCTTTGCCAAAATCCCAAGGCAAGATCCAAGGGTCCAAGGCCATTTCCATCAAGTCCCCAGGTTCCTTTTCCATAGGAACTTTTTTTTTTTTTTTTAAACCTAGCTCCCAACACGCTTCCAAAGGCCATGTTCTGTCTTTCCTGGATCACTACAGTGAAGTATTACAGTTGTACAGCTCCCAATCTGGCCTTGGCTTGCTCGGATAAAACTTTGTTATGTATTTTGTAAGGCATAGATTCTATATTGTAATGTCCTATGCAAAAGAAAAAAAATTAATGAAATTGTAAATTTTATTGTTTTAACATGTATGCATGTTTAGTGACGTTTACATTTTGAAATAAAATTTATGATTCATTATTTTATTTGCCTTAGGTGATTCAATTGGAGGGTGTGGACTGCAGAGG